TCGCTTACAAGAGGTTCCAAATATAGTGATTTGACTTAGAAACTTTGGTATTTTGGAAAACTGGTCGCTGAGGAGAGGCGGTCGAGGTCGCTTATGAGAGGTGGTCGCCACCGAACGTTCGACTGTATAAACTTCTGTGTTCTCCAGTAGTAGAACTGGCCGATAGTGATTAACTGAAAGAACAAATCATGATTGCAACCAGCGTTAACATTAACCTTAATAGTTTCGTTGCAACAAAAAGCAGTGATGCAGTTTACAAATGTTTGTAGCTATCTTTCAAAGTCAGGCCCAAATCCGCCCAATTCCTTTCAAGTGTCCGTTTACGGGAGCTTAAAAACAAAGGAAAAGTCTAGATCGTAAGCCCTCCAAGTGTCCGCGGCCGCTCACGAGGATGTCCGCTTACGGGAATGAGAAATAGAGAGTTCAAACGGGATTTTGTGAAGATGGTCGTGAGCAGAGATGTCCACTTACGAGAGTGTTTTTTAAAATACGTCGGAGAATATCTAGAAAGGCGGCAAAGTACACTAAAAGAGAACTAAAAACAGGACTCTCGTGTCAATTATTTAGTCAAACTTCTGCTTTTATGGAGTAAGTACCAATACAAAATGCATGCCTCAAGCACAGTTTCAAGTCTCCAAAATGAATGCCAGTAGAGCACATGTTCTTCCGTAAGTTATCGAGGACTCGCTTTACAACACAAAGTTGTCTGTGCTGCGTTTCATTCTGGAAATCACCAATGCTATTACAAAATTAAAGCAATAAAACTAAAAATAGGATTCAAATTGAGACTACGGTTAGTATCCATGGTGAAACGCCGTGAAAGCATTCAGTAGCTTTCAGTGGCTTGCAAGTATCCACGGTGAAACGCTGCGAAAGCGTTGGTTGGCTTGCACAGTCTCACGTGATAGTCATATGGACGCATTTTCTTGACCAATCGCAGCCTTTTTGTGTTAGTTTGAACCTAAGTTGTCGTCAGCTCCGCGCACTCTATTATGTCACAATGGATTCAAGTATAAAAGGACGCGCGTTGACAAGAATCGTCATCTTCTCGTTGTCTCTTGCAGGGTTAACTTTACGACGTTCGCTTGGCAATTTAGAGATTATGGGCTGCGTATTCAGTAGAAATGAAGCTTTGAGCTTCCGGAAAAGGAGAAAGGTGAGCAAAGGTCAAATAAATCTGAACTTTTCTCAGAATTCGGGAAGAATGAGGGCTTTTCTGGGACTCTTTGTTCAAACGGTTTTTATTTTAAAAAGAAAACCTGTTAGGCTTTATGACGTCAATGCACACGCCATCCAAATTTGAAATTTGCGGGAGATCTGGGACGAAAATGCTTTGCTGGCAGCCTGGTGACTAAAATAAATTCAAACCCAACTGTCGCATCCGCGTGCAACTTTTGTTGAACACAGAATAAAAGATATGTCCACTACATAAAACAAAACCGTCTCTATTTTGATCACACCAAATACATATATGTTATTTGCCGGCTTAGGGTCGGTCCGTATAGTGAAAAACTGTGACCGAGGTCTTGAAAATGCTGCCCGAGGCCTGCGGCCTCGGGCAGCATTTTCAAGCCTGAGGTCACAGTTTTTCACTATACGGACCGACCCTAAGCCGGCAAATAACATGTTTATTTTTTTTTCCTGCGGTAAATTGGTTTTACAGATTACAAATGGGTTTGTTTAAGCAACTTTGTCATTGAATCGGCTTCCGCGCCGTCTACTAACGATTTATAAAAAGCTCTTCGCAACGAGCAAGTAACTCAGATAGTAGACAAAGAAAGATGTATTAAAGAACCGTGAGAGTTTTTTTCGAACTACTTTACGTTAGTTGCATTTATTTCAACAGTTAAGTTCTCCAGAATTGTTTTTGCGGTGTGAAATTTCGTGCGAAGTTTTAAGTTTTACTACAAAAACAATTTCTGTCAGTCGTTGCTTTCAAAGTCACTTGAAATCAAACTTTTCTACCGTAAATTGAATAGCTGAAAGCGAGGAAATTTGTTAAGTGTATTCCACAGGAGGAAATTTAGACAGCGGGGAAAAAAACCGGCCCGTGGGCCGTATCGTAAAAAGCTGGACCGGTCACGTGCGGATGATTAACCAATCAAATTCGAGGATTTAGGATTCCGGCCCGCTCAGATGCTTGAGAAAAAAATAAATAATATTTACTACGYCTGCCTTCCGTAGTAACATTGTTCAAACATCATGGACTGTATTTAGCAAGGTTTTGAACATCTTCAGAGGACGCTATTCTTCTTAATAGTTTACGCACAGAGAGCGCACGATCTTGTTGAATATGAAGAGAGTTATCAAGGAATGAAAAGAATATACCGAAGCTTGAGCACACGAGCTTGAGCGCGCGCTGGATGACGCGATTGGTACCGGTTCAACGGTACGATGACGTTGTGAAAAGCGATTTGAGAAAAAAAACTTTGCAAAAGACGTTAAAGACGGCCAAGTTGTAGAAAAATCTTTTGACTTTGTTTTGTGTTTGTTTGGTTTCGAAGCAACGAAATTTAGAGATTCGAGCGAATATTCGGATTGTGTGAAAACGTTTGGGCAAAAAGTTACCTCCCTTGTCAATGTCATATGCATATGTAAACCAAAAAAAAATTTGCAGAGCGCAGAAAGGCTTAGGTACGAGTTTAGCGCTACAGTGTTACGTAGGTCTTGTAGGTAGCGGTTGTCGCGTAAGAAATGACAGCAGTAGGCAAAGGTAAATTGTATATTCTTTTCATTCCTTTATAGCTCTCTTCCTACTCAACAAGATCGTGTGTTCCCTGTGGTTTACGCGCTCTGATTGTCACACTCGTGGTAATTTTCATGAGTTTTAGTTCAGTTTGAAAATGCGTCAAACCTACGAAGGCTTNAAAAAAAAAAAAGCAAAAAAAATCGATGTAGACCTTTGTGTCGAACATTAAGCAGGATGACCAGAATTTTAAGGATCGTAACTTACAATGCGACTTCAAAACTCCGGTTTTCTTTCACACGATCGCTTTTTCTCAGCGTTTTCGTTCGGCAGCTGGCACAGGGAAGGGTTATCGAGTAAACGAAGCACTCCAACACGCCCAAGGTTCAATTCAACTTGTCTGTAGTCTTAGTCCGGGAATTTTTCTGGACACGGTACTCGAAACGTTGCTTAAGATCATGATACCACAACTTAAAAAGCGCGTTAAAGCAATCTTTGACCAATAAAAAACACACCTGGTTTTGCACTCAGACAATGAGCGATTTTCACAAATTCGCTGTAATTTCAGGAACGCTCCATGCAATATTTGTTTGGATAAAAAGTCCTCTGGAATCATACTTAGCCTGTGAACAGGTTCACGGCGAAGGCGAGAAAAGGAGCAAACCTCTCCTTTAGCTCCGCCCGTCTCCTTTTCTTCGTCCTAAACCCACAGTTAGTGGCAGCTCAGAAAAAAACTACGAGTGCTAAGATGGAGGAATTTTCTCTCTTAAATGTTGTTGAAACCTTTGTTTAAAACCAAATAATCTGACATTGTTATTCCGGCGTTCTATCGTAAACACGAAAAGAAGTAGAAGGAGATGTTATATTTTGAAAAAGTTCACCCTGTCATTTGTATAAAATACGTTAAAAAGCACAAATGCTAATTAACGGTCACAAGGCAGTTCTTAACGGCAGATCTTACTGTTATTTCTGAGTGTTCAAGATTTGATCCTTCCGCCAGTTATAGAGCACCCTCACAACAGCCATATTGGTGTCCTCAACCAGTAACATGTCATTAATCTTTGCTGGGAACAGCGCCAAAACGCGGAGACGTCACGTGAAAAACGCCCTCATTGAAAGGATCAAAACGATCCTTAGTTAAACGTTTTCTCCCAGATAACATCCCTAATTGGTAATATGGAGGTAGCTTTGTCCGATTTACGCCGTATCCGTGAATCAGTTATACTGATGGGAGAGATCGCAAAACGAAACAAAACCAGCAGGCCTTCCGTTCTGGCCGATAAACCAGTCATATTGTTCACTTCTCATTCCTTTATGTTTGAGGACGCTAGTAATATTTTTAGGGTCATATGAATTTGATTTAGAAAGCGCCCATTTGAATTCAAAGTTTTCATATTTAGGCGAAAAAATACGGGCACGAGTAGCCCTCAGAGAATATCTTTTAATTTTATGAGTGCGTTAATTTTATCTTAAATCTAAATTTCCAGCTCATAATGCAAGGCTATACAACGCTACTTTGTCCATTCAAAGTGCTGACGTTTGCAAATTTGTTTCTCGATCCTTAGATACCAAAGATACACCATGGCCGTGAACGCCTTACAACATCTTTATATGGCGTTCACCCCGTCAAAAAACCACCGAAAAAAAAAACGAAAATCACCCAACGCCATCTAAGGGTGTCACGAACATCAAATATATTTATAAGAATATTCATCAAGAATATTCCTTGCTTGGCTTTTTGACGGGGAGGAAGAACTTCCCGGACGAGGAATTGGTTTTCAGCAAACCAGCATCCACAATGAAAGGTATCCACTTAGCTTAAAAGTAATTTATCTTATCTACCATGGGCTGCACGCCTGAGGGAGCCTAGATTTTCTATAAAATACTTTCCGATGTTTTTTTTTTTTTTTTTCAATATCTCAAAGTTGAGCGCTCGTAGCTCGATAGACTAAGCGCCGAAGGTCCGCTTGTGACAGGCTATGTCCGGGATTGTCCATGTAGTTGTACGAGTCTTAGTTACAAACTGTTACTTATACCACAAAATACACCACAGGTGTTGAGCCTGTGTCTGTTTGAAGCATACCGGTCGTAAGGCCTAAAATTATTTCATTATTTACAAAGAGCTGTTAATAGCTAAGTCTATCTGTTGTAATATTTCTTGCTCTCTGAAATCGACATTAATGTTGTTATGTGTGGTACTTCTTTTAGCAATTCCTGAAGTTCTTCCTCAGCCAATTGATACACCCAACACGAGCCAGGAAGGTAAACAATATCACATATAAAACATCAATTCAACAAATTGACGTCAGATTTTCATGCGTCTGTCCTGTTATTGATGATGAATTTCGTCATAACATTGTCAAAGTAGCTGTGGATCCGCAGTGGATCCGCAGACTACTACTACCTGTTATAAGATAAGATAAGATAACTTTATTTATACACGGTTTTTCACGATAACAGATTGTCAAATTGTCCGCTCTCGCTCGTTGACGCATCGCATAAATTATAAATTCATGTGTCTGTCCGCATATCGACGATGAAAATTAGCCAATGAGCGCGCGAGAATTTCTGCAGATATCGTAAAAGATAACTTTTTGACATTGATTAATAAAATCGCGCTGAACTTATCAGTTAGCTGTAGAAATTTAGCTCATGGTTATCTTCAATTTATCCATTGTATTAAGCCTTAACTACGCATTTTTATGTCCTTGTAAGTAGAAGCATTGACTTTGCTAAATGTACATGCAGAACTATTTCTTGCTGTCAGAGTACTCATACTTTACTCATCGTTTAATTTCATTTCTTTTTTATCCATTCCAGCCGTTCATGAAGTTCCTGAGACAATCCCAGCCTCTATCAAGCTACCGGATTGTCTTACCTATGAAGGTAGATATAAGTAAAAAGAAAAAATGCATTCGAATCTAGAAACCCATCAGGCCGGTGGTTATCTGCGCCCCCACCCCCTCCCCCCGAATGCGGTGTTAGCCCACCAAAAGCATCTGCTTTGCATTTGTGAGATGCTGAAAGGTGAATACCTACTTATTTTCATAAGTAATTTCTACTCATTTTATTTGCCTTAATAGGTCTTCATGAATATGGCTTCCACCTTTTTACGCTCGATTCCGAAAAATACTGTACCTCCGTCGAGAGCTCAGAGTAAGTGCTTCGTTTTCTATTTTTTGTTTTCTGGCCTTGCTAGATGATAATGGAGATATTAATTTTATTTGATAGCCCAAGGAAATTGTAATCGTCGTTGCGTTAGTCAGAGCTACTAGGGAGCTTAAGCAATGACGACGGCGACCCCGAGGACAACGCCTAGTAAAAAATGAATTTATATTTTATCATTGAATTTCGCAATTGCCTAGATCTATTCAGGGCGCCTATTGGTCTCAGAACTTGCTCAAGCTAAATATGTAATGCCAGCGTTCAATTCCAAATAAAAATACGAAAAATTAGCCGCCGTCGTTCGCGTTCTCCAAAATGCGCAGAACTTAGTCATTTCACGTTGTTGTTGTTGTGCAGAGGACGGCTAAGAAATGTACAAAGTTTTGTAACGCACGTGCATCGCCATTGTTTTGCTCATTGACGTTCTCGTTGCCGTTACCGTCGTGGTTTGCTTAAGTTCCCTATTGGTTTACAGACAGCCAATGACAAAAAAAAAATCGATTTTTTAAGAGTTCGAAAGCTATTTCCCACTATAATTTCGTGTTGATCTTTTTTTATTCATTCCACAGCTACATACCAGAGGCAATAAGTTGCCTGATTGGTCGGGGCTAGGTTTGTCGTTGTATACAAACAAAAACTTGGTTACACTGCATACCTGCCCGATCAATCCGCCTATGCCAGGGATCTTTTTGACACTCTGTGTACCCGGTAAGTTTTCAGTTGTTATGTGAACTTTTCGGTTATTTTCCATGAAATAAATGTTTTCACTCAAAACCTTTTCTACCCCTAAGGGCGATCTTTGTAATGTAAAAATTCTCATTGATTTTAACGCTAGTTTTAAACGAAGAATATAATCGTAGCATAGT